AAGCAAGGAGAAGGAGAGTAAGAAAGAGAGACGTGAACGCACTAAATCGTCGAGCCGTGTCCGAGGTTCTGGCGCATGCGCACGTAACCTTTCGTCATGCTCTACCGCAAGCACCGCGAGCGTTTCTTCATCAGCGTCAACCGCTGATTCTGACGACTACAGCGAATTCGACTCACTCTCTGCTGATAGCTCGCTGTATGGTGGCCCGTTCGGATACCCGCATACAACGTGTAGCAGCGTGCGCGAAGTGGAGATGGCGGACTTTGCTGATTTCGAGATGGGCGATGCGGAGTGCTTGCAAGGTCAAGGTCAACTGCAAACGCTCTCCTTACCGCTAAGTCTCTCGATGCCCTTGCTTTCTGGGCTACGGCCTCTGTTCGAAATAGTGTCATGGATGGCACCAGGAAATGTAAATACATGTGCCATGCAAATTAGACCTATTGAGAGTGATGTCAAGCATGGAATGGGTGAGGAAGAGAGTGCCTACTTGGTTCAGAGAGAGGATTGTGCCTTGGGAGTGATTGTACACAGACAAGGGTGGTGGTGGTGGTGGTGGTGGCAGTGGTGAGACGAAGAGTGAGAGTCTGAGATGCGTTGCAAAATGTTAAGTCCATGTATGCACTAAGAATCTAGATTTGGGTGGTACAGATCAATTTACATATCCTAGACTTATCTAATGAATCACTTAGTCTAGGTGAGATAGATTCATCCAATTACAGGTAAGTTAAGACTATCTGTACATATGTATACTTACCTTTTACCAGATAATCTATACATAAATTAAAGCTAGGTATGTTGAGTTATACTAGATTAATCTAGCTATTAGATTTGACTACATAATCTGGGACAATATCTAGGTATGACAATATGACTAATACAGATCCAAGCTACCCCTCTCAGATTCTCCTGACACACAGTGAATGTTGTCAATCAAACTATAGACACAAACTGTATGATTTATTACATTACTCTTTATAAGACACAATGTGGTGTTATTCCCAGCACTATCTTATTTTATCAAATGGTACCTTGTTGAGAAGCCAAAATGAAACTGACACTCCTCCATCTTGTGTCATATGTGTGAATTTTTTCATTGTGGAGGGATAGAAGTAGCCATTTGTCTGTAGAGATGTCAAGACTACAAGTATCTGGCATGATACAGGACAGATACTTTGACACATGCTGGATGTTAGTCTCTGTCAATGGTGAGAACCCCAAAGTAAGAGATACTAGAGTCAAAGGGAGGCCATTTTGTTCTGGCAGATCATGGAAGTCTTCTCCAAAATGGACATACAAACCCAGCACACACAACCTTGGGCACAACATGCCTATTGTTGGTAATGCACAATATGTCAAGGACAGTACTTTATTGCATCTCAGATATGGATTCAGGAGCAGCTCCTCAAGGTTGCTGCACAATGACAGTAACAAGGGAAGATCACTGTCCCAAAGCACTATCAGGCAAGTAAATGCCAAATTTAGCTTATGTAGCCCTCCTGAGAAGATGCTATGGATATGCCCACACAACAACACTATCTGATCATCATCATCATTGTAAAAAGGATTATACAGGTTGTTTGTGTCCAAGGTAATTGAGGTGAGTGCTGAATTATGTGTAAGAGTTTGTAATGCTGTTTGCATAGATTTGGCAGACTCCTGTTGTGGCAAAATGAGCTTTACAGTCTCAAGCACAGGAAAACACCTGTTGCAAAAAAATTGCATAGACAAGGGTAGAGGCATGATGAGCTTTAGCTTGGTCACAGAGGTAAAGGACCTGTCAGGAATAGAAAACATCACCTGCAGGTCCTCTGTAACCTCTACCTTCAACTCCCTTAGACGTTGGCTGAATGTAAGACCAGATACTAAAGGGGCTGTACAAGAATCAATGTTCAACTGGCACACAAAGTTTGCCAGGTGTGGAAACCATTGATCATTCCACTTGGGTACCATGTTACAAAGAGTGAGTGTAATGACATTCTCACATTTGCACACAAGCAGCTCAAGTGAGTTATAGGCCTGGTTTTCCTCAAAGAATTTGCTAGACTTGTTAAATATGACACCATGCATCCATTCAATCCCATTCTATCCATATGATTTGATTAACTTTATGTGACATATGCTTTGTCCCAAGAGAGGGCCAGCACAAAATAATAACCTTGTTTTCTCTACCACAATTGTGATATCCTGTAGTTGTGAGAAAGAGACAGTATAGTTTCCTCTGGTTGGCATACACAATAGATAGTTCAGAACAGTCAGTGATCTCCTGTTGCTTGTATCCACTATGAGTTCCTTAATGTATACTACATTTCTTAACATCTTCTCTTTAAGGATAAGTGCTATGAAAGAATGCAAAAGTTTGAATGACATACATGATTGCCTCCAAGCAATCTATCAAAGTAGGCAATTGAGTCCAACTCCCTCCAGAGGTGTGGAGCACATATCTCCTCTATGAGCTGACATGTCTGAGAAAGGCAGGCTAGAGTGTCCTTGCAGAAGGGAAAGACAAACTGTAGGTCAGCACAGTGATACAAAATGTCAACCAGCCTACTATTAGAGATGTTGTGTGCTGCCAGTTCAAGTGTATATTCATGTGTTGCCATAACTGCCTTGAGCTATCTGACTTGGTTCTTACTAATCTGGAGCATTGTATTGTTGATTCAGACATTATAAATCCAGTGACAATAGGGATTTGACTTACAACATTGAGGTGCAGTTGTTAGGGACCTGAGGAAGTAAGGTGTTGCATTTGAGGTGGAGTTTTAAGCATGCAGGAACGTGTTGTGCCCTACAACAACAGATTGACTCATAATCCATATGTCATCCACTACTCCAGCAGAAGGGGATAAATATCTGTGAGGCTTCTCAGGCACCCTGTATGGTTCTTTAGTTCTGAGCCTAAGGGTAGAAGCATTGACAAATGCTAAAGCTGTGAAAAGAAAGGATTAGCCTGTGTTAGAACAACCAGTACAGGAAGTCACAGTCACACAACCTCAACACTTTGGGTTGCCAACAACCCCCTTTGTCAATGTTTTTATCCATACTTTCAATTCAGATTTTTTGTTTAATTACCAGTTCAATCAACTAACTTAACTTTCCCTATGGCTACAACACTTCAGCCATACATACCAAGTGCAAACACATCTGTTACAACTCTACCAGAGTGAGAAGATGCATAGTCTAGACAAACAGACAATTGCACACAAACATGATATAACACTAGACACAGTGCTTGAAGACAGCTAATTCCCCTGTTTTACTCAATGGCAGACACAGAAAGTAATGGTCAATTCCTTCTACTGCCTTTGTTCCTGCCTTTCCAGGTAGCCTACTACAGTTGAAAATGTCTTTTTGCATCACATCATAATGCATAAATGGCATAATACATAGACTTTTGGCCAGACCAAAACTCAGGTCCTCAGCCAAAATGTATTGTCATAATACATAAATTGTATAATGTATTAGGTTCAGCCCTCTCCCAACATTATGCAATAAGACATTTTCAACTGTACTGAGGTGGGTGAATGGGACAATCCTAGCTTCTACTGCTGAAGAAAGCAACTGCTAATACTAGAAAGCAAGACTAGGTATTTTGGGAGAAGTAGAGTGTTCTATAAGGTTCAACAGTATGTGCAGGGATGACAGCTCAGTAGAGGAAGGACATGGAGACAATGAAGGTATGTGTTCAGGCCAATATGACAGAAAAACTTAATTCTGACCTGACTTTCATAGAATCCACCCATCTGCACATCAAATCAAGATCAACCAAAGCAATGCTGACGTGTGCCATTACAGCTGTCTTCATGAAGAGCTTGCCTAATCTTAATGATGCCTTGACTGTATCACACATCATTTATCATGCCACAACAATGCATTCAGCAGACAATGAGACAGACCCAATTACTCAATAGCAACAAGTCAGACTTGCTAATTCACAAGCACATTCTCAATGTCATCAAAATTTTGAGAGATGTGGTACTCAGAAACAATCATATTGTATTAAATCTGTACAGCATTGTTTTGCAGCCAATCATAGTGACTTGGGCACAGATTGGCAACATGCTCAACCAGGGTGTTCATAACAACCTAATAACTCTATGATTGATAATAGAATGAGACTATTGAACTGAATACTGAGGACCCTGTTGGACTTGCCCTGTATCTTGTTATGGCACCAGCCTCAGCTGATACATATCATTGGCCTCCTGAAGATGGACAAAACAGTGAGATGTCTCTAAAGTGTGAGACAGATCTTTTCATCCTCAGTCCATGTAAAATGAGGCAGATGAGCAATTGAAATGCTGTTTGATGTATACATTCAGGACTGGTTGGAGATTGTTGAGGCAACAATTGCAACCTTGTACAATACTGACTACAGTGACCAACACGTTGGATACCAATCTGTCTGTCTCCCTAGTGAGATTACTTGGTGAGGCAAGGATGGCAAACTGTG